TAGTAAGTATATCATTTCTAATTAAGGTAAAACAGAGGTTTATAGAGTGCGTGCACCGTACGTACGTACGTACGTACGTATGAATTCTGTGCCAGGTTTGTGACACAGTTTTACGATCAACAAAAATTTTCAAGTTCACTGTAGTTAGGGTTAGCGTTTAGACTAAGGTTAAAGGTTAGGTAATTATATAGTAAAATCGCTCAAGGAAAACTTTTTGTTAAGGCACTAAAAGTGTTTTTTTTATATTTTTGAGAAAAGCAATTTTGACAAAACGAACGAAATTTGCCAATTGCAGATCAGGTATCTGCGCCACAATGATCAACAAAATCTGGCACGTCGAAAAACAAACTCTGAATTATTCAGATTTTTTAAAGTTTTAGATTTAAACGGGAAGCCAAAGTCTAGTTTTCTCTGGACATCGCTCATACTGTATTATTTTAATGTGGCCGAAATATTTCGGCTTGTGTTGAAATCGTTTCTGCAGAAATACTCTATTTGTAATAATAATTTATCAAAATTGAATTTCAGTTTGACGCAACTCAATTTTAAGGTTCTACTACAAAATCCTGACATCCAAATCTCGATACTGCCATCACGCGATATGACAATTAAATTCAAAGTCTAACAATGATTAATGTGATTACTAATCTTTAAATATTAATATCGGGATTTTGTTAGTAAAACTCATTTTAAATCTACTCTCTTCGAATCTGACGCACGACATACGTACGTATATAAGCGCAGAAGTGGAACGATAAATAAGAAGCTCTACCTGGAAATGCGTGCATATTATTGTTATGTGCACCAATTACTAATTATTTATGATATGTTGATGCAGACCAGATGATATGCTAATGCGGGCTCAAAAAAAATCCCACGCATCCCGCGCGTTGCCCATCACCAGGGATGGCACGTCACAATGTCCAAAAAAAATTGAAATCAATCCCTGCTTATCACTAGTTGGAAATGATACTGAAGCATGGATGATCGTAAAACAAAAAATCCCATTAGCTAATCACACTAACTAGGTGAGTTTTTTTCACGATCATCCATGTTTCAGCATCATCCCCAACAATAATTATAATGAACTACTTTAGTTGGTATTTCGTTGAAATTTTTTTATGATTATATATAAATAGGTTTCTTTCAAGTTTGTTTAATAAATTATGCTAACAAAATATGTTTCATTATTACTTACTGGGTTGCACATACATAAAAAAAGCTATTAATCTCAACTAATATAAAGTATCAAAGATTTCGGCTTCAATATTCCTTCCCTTCCTCTAAAATAACTGATTGAATATTCTCTATTATGCAGTTATCTAGTTGTTTTAAGTCTGGATATAATTACCAAATTAATTAAAACATTTAAATCAGGATTCAAGCGTTAACTTTAGTATTTCCTTTCATCTATTTTTATTATCAACAATTATATTTACTTTTACTATTACCTTATTATTTTTATAAACAAAAACACAATAATGAGAAATATTTATTTTATAATAAATTTGTTATTGTTTATTCTTATATTAGAAAGGTATATTATAATTTATGCTTTGAGAGGTCCGTTAACAAAATTATGGGGTAACAACAATACAGATCATTTAGTGGATGTTGAGAGAGACTTATGCATGGTGAATGGAATGTTAAAGGAATTGCTAGATGAAGAAAACTTTGGAGGATCCTATATAGATGTAAAGCGGAATAAAGTAATTATCAGAACATTAAATATAACTATACTTAATAATATCCTTAATTCAGATCGTCGAGCGATTCCGTTACTACCACATAAGGGAGTAATTTATCCTCTCAGAGCAAGAAATTCTCTATCAACCTTAAGAAACATTTTAGCAGAGATAATGTTAAAAGTACAAACATATCACCCAGTTAGCTTAATTATATTCATTGATATAAAAATGAATAATGTTATCGTAATGAGAAGTCTCGATGATGATGAAACTAATCAAGCATTTCTAGAAGCTATCCATCCATATCACCCAACTATGCATTCTTACGAAGAGCCAAAACGAAAACATCCTGGTTCTCCTAATTCAACCTACACTAAACGTGATCTCATAAAGGTCCTAATATTCAATGGAGATGGTCTATATAATAATGGCACACACGAAGAATGCACAGTGGGTTTTTGGGTAAAAAATGCAAAAAACCTTTCTGAGGATTATATTGTAACTGCAGGACATTGTATTGATCCGGATAATCCAGCTCCTGAGCATAATACTTTCCTTTATTCACCGCGGGGAACAATACAAGACCTCGGGAAAAAAGTTGGACCAATGGTATTTTATAATGATTCAGTAGATGACTTTGGCTTAGTCAGAATAACAAATGAAGAGCTCAAACCAACACGGAATATAGTGAATACAGATGATGATGAATTTGAAGAACTATTTATAAGGGATGTTGAACCTTTATTGTGCATTCATGCTCACGTATGTAAATCTGGCACAATCTTCGAAAGTGATGCTGATGACGAAATAGGTAAAGGTGAACATGAAGATGATGCATACGTTGGTTGTGGATATTTAATTTCGTTAGATGGTATTTATATAGATGATAACGGTGTTATTAAAAAAAATTTGATCGTTACATCTATACGTTCTACTAAGGGTGATAGTGGAGCGCCTATATTCTATACACGAGATTTACCTCATGTGAGTCTAGTTGGCATACACATAGTAGGCGGTAAAAATGAACAGCGACAATGGAAAGTTACTTTAGCTCTAAAAATAGAAGATATTTTTAAATCAGATCAAGTAGAGCTTGTTTTGGGTGAATGAAATCCACTAATACGATTCTCAGCTAATTCCGTACACTACTGAGGTGTTCAATATCGTCTAATTACAAGAATAATGTAGGTAGGAGTAGCAAAAGTTCTAAACACGATATTAAAAAAATTAATTAAAAATATTTTAATATATCATTATGCAATTTATTTATCATTAAATTATATTTATTATTATACAACTATTACTATGTTTCATGGAAGACTTCCATTGAAAGAATCTTCACAAAAATTACAAATTGATAAGATGATCGATCAACACCTTGCCAAAAGTGCATTTGTTCTGCATCGTTCCTAAATTTACATTGATTATACCAGTACGATCACATGAAATGTGTGAGGGATGGTTTGATTCATGTTTTTTGCTGTGGCCTAGCAAATTTTG